CTATTCCAACTTACACAATGTCATGCTTCTTATTCCCAATATGTATTTGCAAGGAGATCAATAGACTAATTCAAGATTTTTGGTGGGGACAACAAAAAGAAGAAAGGACAATATGTTGGGTCAGTTGGAAGATGATGACTCAAAGTAAATTTTTTGCGGGAATGGGATTTAAGGATTTACTCTGCTTTAACTTAGCTGTGCTGGCTAAATAGGCCTAGAGGCTTTTACAAAATCCTCAATCACTATGGGTGTGTGTTCTCAAAAGCTTATATCTCAAAGAAACATCTTTTCTCTCTACTAGGAAAGGAAGTCATCCATCCTAGGCATGGACAAGCATTTTAAAGGGCAGAGAAATTCTTCAACTTAGGACATGATGGAATGTAGGTAATGGGAGAGAAATTCTGATCTATGAAGATGCTTGGGTTTTAACTTTGCCACAATTCACGGTACTTTTTACTCCCTAAGCTAAATCCTTATATTCCCATGTTTGTGATTTACTTGATGAAGGGGGAAATTGGGATGTTCATAAGCTAAGTAATTGCTTCACAAATGAGGAATGTAAGGAAATAATGAAAAGACCTCTAGCACCCAAGCACAATTCATTTATCTGGCACTATAACAACTATGGACAGTTCACTGTTGAAGGTGCCTATTACCTTGCATATAAACATATTCACACATTAGACTTTTCAGAAACTCATTCTCCCATCTCCTCCGCAGAATGGAAGCACCTTTGAAAACTCAAACTACCCCCCAAAATTAAGGTTTTCTTATGAAGAGCCATCCTCAACAGATTGCCCACTTTAGATAATTTATTTGCTAAGGGGGTTGTGAACAATACCCTATGTCAAAATTGGGCAAAAATCAACATTTAGCCCCTCACCTTACAAAATTGGTAGGTTTTAGCCCCTCACCGTATAACATGACAGTTTTAGCCCTTTATCTTACAAAGTTGGTAGATTTTAACCATTTACCTTATATTATGATATTTTTAACCCATCACCGATACGAATTAAAGAAAATAACCCTCACCTAACATCAGGTTATAACATTCTGTTAGTTCTGTTAGTTGACTGTCAAATATCTGTTAGCATTTCATTATAAAAAATATGAAATTTAAATTCAATTTTATTTGTTAGTTTCATTAACATAATGCTAACGGATGCTAACAGTCAACTAACACAACTAACAAAACTAACAAGCAGCTAATAAAACTGACAGTTAGTTAACAGAATTGACAATCAACTAACAAAATTGATAGTCAGCTAACAGAACTGACAGTCAGTTAACAAAACTAATAGAACATTATAACCTGATGTTAAATAAGGGCTATTTTCTTCAATTTGTATAGATAATGGGTTAAAAATGTCATAATATAAGGTAAGGGGCTAAAACCTACCAACTTTGTAAGGTGAGGGGTTCAAACCTACCAACTTTGTAAGATAAAGGGCTAAAAATGTCATATTATAAGGTTATGGACTAAAACCTACCAATTTTCTAAGGTGAGGAGCTAAATGTTGGTTTTAGCCGTCAAAATTGTCAGCTTCTTGATGAATCCTTAATGCATGCTCTTTGTCACTACCCTCATGTCGAACCAACATGGTTTGGTTCAACCTTGAGTTTTCTCCCCAGGCAGCTAAGGTTGCAAAATTTTATGGAATGGTGGAGATTTCTAACTGACATTGAAAAACAAATGGGTACTTCATACTTGATTGAACAATGGGCAATAATTTGTTGGAATATTTGGAAGGCAAGGAATAAGATTTACTTTGAGCACAGTGATTTTAATCTTGAACATATTGTTAATTGGGCTCATGGAATGTTTCAAGAATATTGCTTCAAACTACGAAGAGACCTGCTTACTCTTCTAGAACGCACGATGAAAAGAAAACAAGTTACTTCTCATTGGACTCATCCTCCACCAAGTTTTCTAAAAATTAATATTGATGCCTCCTTTTTGTATAACTTTGGATAGGCAGCATTAGCCATGGTTGGTAGAGATTCCAATGGGGAGATTATTGTAGGAAGAACATGGTTATGCTTGGCTCTATCTCCTCTAATGGCTGAAGCTACTGCACTACTTAAGGCCAGACAGTCAATAGTTGATTAAGGGCTGGAGCATGTAATCTTCAAATCCGATAATGAAGCATTGATAACATTC